TTCCTTCTACTGGAGAAACTCTCTAAGTTATTCACTCTTTATCATCTCGGTAAAATGCTTACTTGGCATTGGAAAACAGGGGTATTTACTAAAAGAAAATATCCCGAGGTTCATGGTTAAAATCCAAAGAATTTTACTGCAGAAATGTCGTAGAGCATGAATATTAATAACTACAATCTTTCTTGAATAATCACTTACATTAAAGATGTTTAAAATAGAATGAACACTGGTACTTATATTTGAAACCAGACTAATTTCTGAACCTTCCTTCTATATATGTGGACTCTCACCCTTGTAACTTCAACTCAGATACATACTGAAATTGGAAAATTAGTCACTTGGTATGAATAACTGCTTTGAAGATTCATATATAGATTGAGATTTCTTTGGTTTCCTGCTAACTTGCTGTAAGATTTTACCTTCAAATCCTCTCTAATTATCCCATAGATGTATATTCCAAGTTCAACACAGTGTTGCATTTGTCTTGCATGTGGACATCTAGGGTCAGAACTTTTGGTTCTAGTATTCTTTAACTGTGGAATTTTGCATCTAAACCACCCCCAACCCCTCTTTTCAGCTTGGCTATCCCTAGAAGATTACTTCACTGTTTGGAGTCCTTTAGTTAACAAGAGTTATAAAACTCTGCAATCCAACACAAGGAATTGTAAAAGAACTCTGCTAGGTAGAGATGTTCTTTGTTCTGCAGCCAGATTATTCTAAAAACAAACTCTAGCTTGAAACAACTGCACACTCCATGGTTTCCTGTACAATTAACATCAGGTTGACTGCTTTTCTATTGTTTATCTCCCAGGCAACTTGGTTACACGATAATTTATGTGGAGACTGAGGTGCTTTACCAGAAATCAACTTCTAGATAAATCTAGTTCTTAAAGGGAGAAATATCCCAACATAAAATGTTGATTTTTTTTTTCACCAAAAGCACATGGGCCCTCAAAATTTGCACATTTAAACTCTAAACTATGTAATGTGAGCACTTGTAATCAATAATCTACTTCTGCAGCTGTTTGATCTTCTCAACTCCCTCTCCTTCACTTATGGTACCCTTGTCCTCTGTGGAACTCTTGCTTCCTCTAATCTTGGTCATTCCTATTGACAACCCTTGTTTTGCTCCTTCAAGTTCAATAGTCATGGATGTGAGTGTAAGTAGCACACAGCAGGTTTCACCATCTATTGTTAGAACTGAATGGATCACATTGAACTTTGGGCCTTGTTATTCTGTCAAAAAAAATTAATTCCTTCAGGAATACATAGACAAGAATAAATAAACATCTCCTTAAATTCTTACCTTTGCAGCATCAAATGAATGATGTTCATGAACTTCTATTGAGATGTTTCTGCTGCTTTGCATCCCTTTCCCTTTTCCACCTTGCTTAACCTCCTTCATCACCCAGCTGTTTGCCCCACTCAAGCTATGAACATGCATCTTTCTCTAGCTTATCTTGTCCATGAGACACAACTATTGTTCACTTGATTCATTCCCTCTTGCCCTCATGATAACTGCAGCCATCATCACCCTTGCTCACCAATTACTGTGCCTGCAACTACCATTATCTTTTTCTCTCTCTAAAGTCCTTGCATGTGCTGTCACTTCCCAAACCTATGTCCCAAATTTGCAACAAATCTTCAGTCAGGTTTTCACCTCATCACAGCACATTGTTTTAATGAAAGTCACAAATTATATTCTCTGATTGTGAACATTGTGTTCTATTCTTTGCCAAACTTTATCTTTGACATGGCCAACAATATTAACTGCTTGTACTGTTTCTCCATCATTTTAATGGAGTGCCCAGGCTTGGTTTGACACCTGTATATCTAAATGTGCCTAGAGTACCTCCAGCTAAAACTTTTCATCCCTGTCTCCACACTGTCAAATTTGGAGTCACCCATCCTTGGCCTCCAGTTTTTCCTCATCAACTTCTTGGTGAATTTTTGCACAGAACAGTCATTCTAGGTCAGGGAGGTCACAGGCTTGAGAGGTGCTGCTGGAGAAACCTTAGTCAATAGCTGCTGTACCTTGTATGGTTAGGATGTGATACAGACTCATTATGACAGTAGTGGAGGAGGTGGATGTTTAGACTGTGAATGAAGTGTTATTAAAACAGTTGTACCCTGGATGGTGTCAAGCTTCCTGAGTCTGTTGCAGTTCCATCCATTTAAGATGAGGGTGAATATTTTATAATGTTGTTCGCATTAACCAATTATCATAAAACACCCAGACTTTGAACTGTTGTCATAACTACAGTATTTAGCTGACTGGGAAGGCGTTATACTGGACCTAGTTTTGGGAAACAAGCCCAGCCAGGTAAGTGAAGTTTTTAATGGGGGATCATTTTGGGTGTAGTGACCATAATACTGTGAGTTTTAAGTTACTCGTAGATAGGAATAACAGCAGTCCTCGGGTGAAGGTGTTAAACTGGGGGAAGACGAACTACAACAATATTAGGCACGATCTGGGGAGTGTTGATTGGAGGCAGCTGTTTTAGGGTAAATCCACATTGGACACAAAATATTTCAAATGGCAGTTGATAAGAGTTCAGGAGTGGCATGTTCCTGCGAGAATGAAGGGTAGCTATGGCAAGTTACATGAATCTTGGATGACCAAGGATGTTACCACATTGGTCAAAAAAAGAAAGGAAGCATATGTAAGGTTTAGGAGGATGGGAACTGACAAAGCCTTTGAGGTATGTAAGGAAAGTAGGAAAGAACTTAAGCAAGGAATTAGAAGGGCTAAAAGGAGCCATGAAAATTTGTTAGCAAAGAGGATTAAGGAGAAACTAAAGGCTTTTTATACATACATTAAAAAACAAGAGGGTAGTCAGGGAAAGGGTTAGCCCACTCAAGGACAAAGCACGAAATGTATGTGTGGATCCAGAAGAGGTGGGTGAGGTCTGAAACGAATACTTTGCATTGGTATTCACCAAAGAGAAGGAATTGGTAGAGGATGATCTCAAAGGAAGTGAGTGTTGAATTTCTCAGCCAAGTTGCTATTAAAAAGGAAGAGGTGTTGTGCGTCTTAAAAAGTATTAAGATAGATAAGTCTGTAGGTCTTGATGGAATCTATCCCAGAATATTGAGGGAGGCATGAGAACAAATTGACAGACATCTTTCTATCCTCTTTGGCCACAGGAGAGGTCCCAGAGGACTGGAGAATAGCTAATGTTGTCCCATTGTTTAAAAAGGATAACAGGGATAATCCAGGAAATTACAGGCCTGTGAACCTCACATAGTGGTAGGGAAATTATTGGAAAAGATTCTCAGGGACAAGATCTATCAGCATTTAGAAGCAAATGGACTGATTAGCGATAAACAGCATAGTTTTGTGCGGGGGAGCTTGTGCCTCACTAACTTGATTGAGTTTTTTGAGGAGGTGATGGAGATGATTGATGAGGGAAAAGAGGTTGATGTTGTCTACATGGACTTCAGTAAAGCCTTTGACAAGATCTCTCATGGCAGACTCATACAAAAGGTGAAATCACATGGTTTCAGGGGAGAGCTGGCAAGATGGATGCAGAACTGGCTTACTCATAGGAGGGTAGCGATGGAAGAATGCATTTTGGAATGGAAGGCTGTGACTAGTGGTGTTCCACAGAGATCACTGCCAGGACCTCTGCTGTTTGTGAGCTACATAAATGATTGGGAAGAAAACGTAGCTGGTCTAATTAGTAAGTTTGTGGACGATACAAAGATTGGTAGAGTTGTAGATAGTGAGGAGGATTGTCAGAGGATACAGCAGGATAGCGATCAGTTGGAGGCGCGGGCAGAAAAATGGCAGGTTGAGTTTAATCCGGACAAATGTGAGATGATGCATTTTGGAAGGTTAAGTACAGGTGGAAATTATACAGCAAATGGCAGAACATTTAGGAGTATTGATATGCAGAGGGATCGAGGTGTGCAGGTCCACAGATCACTGAAGGTAGCAGTGCAGGTAGATAAGATAGTGAAAAAGGCCAATGGCTGCTTGCTTTCATTGGAAGGGGCATTGAGCATAAGGATAGACAAGATATGCTACAGCTTTATAGATTTTTAGTTTGGCCACGCTATGAATATTGCAGACAGTTCTGGTCACCATGCTACCAGAAGGATGTGCATGCTTTGGAGGGAGGTACAGAAAAGGTTTATCAGGATGTTGCCTGGTATGGGGTATTTTAGCTATGAAGAAGGGTTGGCTAGACTGGGTTTGTTTTTACTGGAATGCAGGAGATTGAGGGGCAACCTGATAGAAGTTTATAAGATTGAGAATGACATGGATACAGTGGAAAGTATGAGGCTTTTCCCAGGGTGGAGTGGTCAATTGCTAGGGGACACAGGTTCAAGGTATAAGGAGGGAAGTTTAAAACGGATGTGCGAGGCCAGTTTTTCACACAAAGGGTGGTGAGTGCCTGGAAGGCATTGCCAGAGGTGGTGGTGGAAGCAGATGCAATAGCTGCATTCAAAAAGCATCTGGATGAATACATGACCAGGAAGAGAATAGAGGGATATGGATCCTGTAAGTGAAGACAGTTTTAATATGGAAGAGCACAATGTGTTGACGCAGGCTTGGAAGGCTGAAGAGCCTGTTCCTGTGCTGTATTGTTCTTTGTTCTATTGAGTTTCTGGACAATGATAACTTCCCTAGGATGTTGACAGTTCAAAATTTCATAATTGTAATGCCATTTAATGTTAGGAAGAAGTGGTTTTGTACAGTCTTGCTGGAAATGATCATTACCTACCACTTCTATGGCATGAAAGTTCCTTGCCATATATCAGTTTAGATATGGTTCAATATTTACTGAAGCAAGCATTACGAATCAGATTGGAGCCGTATAGCTGTCTAGTGAAATGCAATAAAACTTGTCACTGTATGTGCTGCACTAAAAGAATTCAACTTATTTCTTTTCTTCCTTTCTTTCTGTGAAAGCAAATGTCATGGAACACAGAGCTACCTTTTAGTCAGCATTCAAGTCAAAAACACCTTTAATAATAAATTTATCTTTCCACAGGTGGAGAACGTACTTGTGGAGTTCATGAGCTTATATGTATCCGCAAAGGTAAGCCTTCAGCTTTGACAGCGTTGGAAAATATGAATAAGTTTACTTTGTTCATGATTGTTGATTTTCAGACTAATTTGGTTTGTATTTGTTTTACCCAATTCGCAAGGAAATGTCCTTATGTTCTACATTTCTAAGGAATAATAAAATCATGCATCTGATCTCCATAAATGGATCAGCAATGATAAAATACATATTAGTTTCTACCAGTCAATCTCCCTTGGTATTATACATGTTTAACTGGATAAAGTCATCATTGTCTTACTTGTCTCTTTTTTGACTTGCTATTTCTCTCACCTTTGGCTTCTGTGTGGATTTTAGATGAATGTACAAAACATGTAATATTGGTTCAGCTACCTGTAATCCTTTCAGCCGTTGTTTTTCTGATTATATTGATTTCAGTGGAAATTTCATCTTTTGTGTGTGAAGTTAATACTGTCCTTAACCATTAAAACATAGAATTGGAAATAAATATGTTGAAAATCAAAATATTAATAATTAAGTGGACATTCCCTGTCTGTGACTCCACTGAGTTCTGCTGAAGGCTCACACCCTAACTTCAGTCCTCCTCTGTTTCTATTTATATTAACACACACAAATTCTACCTCCAGCAAAGCTTTGAAATTGAACTTACATTTTCAAAATTACTTAAAAGGATAACTACTGAACAAAAAATGGGAGAAGCTCACTACCACCTTCTCAATGGCAAATAAGGATGAGCAGCAAATGTTATCCTTGTGCTGACATCCCATGAATGATTCAAAAGCTTAAAAATTCTGTCAGTATTTCTGATCAAAGGGTATTGATGTATCGTGTACAATCATGGGAGAAGAGTAGATTTTTTTAATGTGGTGAGTTATTATTAATTAAAATGCAATGCCTGGAGCAGTAGATGGAACAGATACAATAATAACTTTACTGTGCTGTGGGGAAGAGCAGGAGTGTAGTACTAATTGTGCAACTCCTTCAAAGAGCTGGCAGAAGCATGATGGCCAATTTGCTCTCTTTCTGCACTGTATGAATCTATAAAATTAGGAAAGAATTAGCAAATAATGAAAATTTAATCAGTACGTTAATGTCTTGTCTCGTTTTTGAACCAATACAATGTTAGTTAAACCAACCAGATTATTAGTACTGTAACTTCCTCTGAAAGTTGGTAAATCAGCAGATGAATAATTGGAACTTATGGTCTCTGTCCTTAAGTGTGCACATCGTACTGTGTGATTGCTAGTGGAGTTAATTTACTATATGCCCAGTGTTCACAAGTTGTATTAGACAATGTGGATAATGTGAAAAGACCATCTGGTATGTTGTTCTTCTACTTCACTATGTTATAAATTAACCACTAAAATTTCCACCCGCCAGCAGCTATGCAATCCCCTCAGACAGGCAAAAAACAAGTTTTAAGACCAAAATAACCAAGGCCAATTTAAGGAAAATATAATTCTGGTAAATTTTCTTGTAGCATGAAGGCAGTCAGAAATGAATTTCAAATAATCATAGGTAAACTTATCTAATTTTTGCAATGTCAGCTTCCTCCTTGTTCACCTCTCTTTTGAACATTTGCACTGCAAAAGTTGGCAACTTAATCCAAAGGTCAGTAATCTTTTATGAAAAACTAAATCTCTTGACATTTAACCTAGTTTTATGATTACATGGCTTAAGTGCATATTTGCTTCCTTTCCCTAATCATCTATATAATAATTTATCTACATATATACATTCTGATCCCTTAATAATTTTAAACAACTTAATGAAATCTCCCCACAGTCTTCCCAAGACTAGAAAGACTCATGTCCCTGACCCGTTCTGGATATAGTTAAGATTTTTAAATTACATAGTTGCCCTCCTCTGAACCTTTTCTTGGGACCTCATACCTCTTGAAATCTCTGTAAAGGTACAACAACCGAACATAATGTTTTACACTGCTAAGCAAGGTTTTGGTTCCCGTTGCATTGTACTGCATTACCTTAACTATACACCCCAGTTGCCTATTTACCAATTCTGTACACTCTTGATGTTGCTCCTATACCATTAGATTAGGTCTTTGTGTTATCTAGGGATTTGCACGCAGTATCCGCCAAAGATGCTTAGTATATTGTGAAAAAGTAAGCCCTCAATGCCAACCTCTGTGTGATTTTACTCGTAAGTACATTCACTGCCATTAAAACCAGCGCTTTGTTTACACATACGCAATCAATTCCCTATCAAATTTGGTATCTGCCCACCAATCTTACAGCACTCTTGACTATGCATTGCCTCCTATTGTGAAGCAATTTATCAGAAGCTTTTTTAAAATCCAAATCTTTATAAACTTATCATTGTCCATCTGCTTTAAAAGGTTCAATTAGTTTGTTAAGACCTGATCTTTCTAGAAGCCGTATTCTAAGTTCTAATAACCACTTCTTTCAAAGTGATCATGTAGATATGCCGAATATGAGAGGAAGGAATTAGGGAAACATTAGATAAATAACTGTGTTAGTCAGTTCACATATTCTCACAGCTACTTATTTGGTGTCTGAAACTGAGAGGTCTGAAACTGAAATTTTAACCTCAGTAATCAATTGTGGCACACTGCGATGGTGAGTTGAAAGGGCTAACTGAAGAGTCAGAGATATCAAAGCTAAGAATTGGAACACACCATTTTTCAATTTTGAGCACCTGTTATTAGTCTCAAACAATTCAAAGTCATGAATAGCACAGTTAGAGACAATATATTTATCCTTCACTTCAGTATGGACTATACTGTATCATATTTCCTAACCAGCAATAGTAATGGACTTTTTAAGGCAAACTATCACTTAAGTACTGGTTAGTGTACTTGCATGATTTGGGGCTTTACTCATTGAAAAAAAATATTTCAGATTCAACAGAATGGTGAGATATATATCTAAAAATATAGAAGTAAGGCAGGCAAGCCGGCCATTAGGCTCAACTTCCAGCTTTTTCCTGTATCCTTTCCAATCCATTTTCATTCATCCACTAATCCATCTAACCTTGACAGTCTCAACCATTGACATGCAAAGTGAATTCCACAACCTCAGAACTGAAGTTTCCACTGTCCTTTGTTCTCAATATCCAGCGGGTAATTGTGTATCTATATCCCCACTCCTACTGGATACAGTCTGCTTTTACCAAACCTGTCCCAGTCTTCCAGAATATTTTTCTTATTTGTTCACGGGATGCAGGTATTGCTGAATAGACCATTTTATTGCTCCTGAGGTGGTAATGGTGACTTTTCTTCTTATACTGCTGCAATCCATAGTGGGAACATACAAAAGTGCACAGTGTTGTTAAGAACCTGTTAAGAAGCAGTGTTGTTAGGTGTTGTTTTGACCCAGTGACAATGAAGGAACGACAATATAAGTTCCAATTCAGGATAGTTCATAGATTAGAAAGGAATTTGCAGGTGGTGATGCTCCTATGTATCCGTTCCTATTTTCCTTCTAGGTGGTAGAGTTCAAAGTTTGAACTTGTTGTGGAATATCTGAGATTTTTTGGAGCAGTTTGCGGGGTCAAGCCCACTAGGGAACAGACAATTCTGAATTTGGTGATGTTTAATGAGGCGGACGTGATTAAGGATCTTAAGATGAAGGGAACTCTCGGGGGCAGTGACTATAACGTGATAGAATTCACTCTACAGTTTGAGAGGGAGAAGCTGGAATCAGATGTAAAATGGTATTACAATTTAGTAAAGGTAACTACAAAGACATGAGGAGGCCGGCTAGAGTTGATTGGGAGGGAAGATGGTGGAGCAGCAATGGCATGAGTTTCTGAGGGTAATTTGGGAGACAGCAGAAACTCATCCCAAGGAAGAAGAACCTTTTTAAGAAGAGGACGAGGCAACCATGGCCAATGAGGGAAGTAACGGACAGCTTAAAAGCAAAAGAAAAAGCATACAGTGTGGTGAAGATTAGTGGAAAGCCAGAGGATTGGAAAGCCTTTAAAAGCCAGCAAAAGATAATGAGAGTAAACTAACTAGTAATATGAGAAAATTGCAAGATTTTTTAACATATCTAAATTGTAAGAGAGAGGCAAGAGTGGATATTGGGCCACTAGGAAATGAGGCTGGAGAAGTAGTAATGGGGAAGAAAGAAATGGTGGAGGAACTGAAGAGGTACTTTGCACCAGTTTTCACAGTGGAAGACACTTTTAGCAAACCAGAACTTCAAAAGAGTCAGGGGTAGAGGTGAGTGTCGTGGCCATTACTAAAGGAAAGGTGCTGGGGAAGCTGAAAGGTCTGAAGGTAGACAAATCACTTGACCAGATAGACTACACTGAAGCTGAGAGATCATAGAGGCATTGGTAGTGATCTTTCAGGAATCACTGGAGTCAGAGAGGGTCCTAGATGGCTAATGTAACATTCCTGTTTAAGAAGGGAGAGAGGCAGAAGACAGGAAACTATAGGCCAGTTAGCCTGACCTTGATCATTAGTAAGATTTTAGAGTCTATTATTAAGGATGAGATTGTGGAGTACTTGGGAGTGCATGGTAAAATAAATCTGAGTCAGCATGGCTTTATCAAGGGGAGATCACGCCTGACAAATTTGTTAAAATTCTTTGAGGAGGTAATGAGCAAATTAGTCAAAGGGGAACTAGTTGACATGATCTATTTGGATTTCTAGAAGGCCTTTGACAAGGTGCTGCCCAGGAGTCCGCAAAATAAGATGAGAGCCTGTGATGTTAGGGGCAAGGTACTAACATGGATAGAGATTTGGCTGACTGGTGGAAGCAGAGTGTAGGGATAAAGGGGTATTTTTCAAGATGGCAGCCGGTGACTAGTGGAGTTCCGCATCGGTCAGTGTTGAGACCACAACTATTCAAGTTATACATAAATAATCTGGACAAAGGAACTGAGGACTTTACAGTGACTATAAAGGTCACAAATATTCTCAACATTCCCCATAACCCTTCTTCCCAAGTCAGGGTTCAGATTACAATTTTTAATATTCATTGTTTCAATATGTCTTGGTTATGGCTATGGTTGCCAGTAATTCTAGT